TTTTCGGTCGCAATTTTGATGTTTTTCCGTCCTTCAGGGCCCTGCTGTTTGAGCGTGGCGGAGGCGCCGTTTTTGAGCTTGGAAATTCCCATCCGGGAGCTGTCTTTTGAACAGAAGGAGTAGCAAGAGCAGGAGCAGCAGCAGCAGCAGGAGGAAAAAGTAGCTAAAATAATCCTTTTCTATGGGTTTCAGAAGTTACATGCGGGAGTTTTTGGTCGCAATTTTGGCGCTTTTCCGTCCTTCACTGCCATGGTGCTTTCCCATCCGGGAGCTGTCTTTTGAACAGAAGGAGCAGCAAGAGCAGGAGCAGCAGCAGCAGCAGAAGGAAAAAGTAGCTAAAAAATCATCCTTTTCTATGGGTTTCAGAAGTTACATTAGGCAGTTTTTGGTCGCAATTTTGATGCTTTTCCGTCCTTCAGGGCCCTGCTGTTTGAGCGTGGCGGAGGCGCCGTTTCTGAGCTTGGAAAGCTAGCAGATGGCTACTTTTCTTGTCTTTTGGACAGAAGTAGCAAGAGCAGGAGCAGCAGCAGCAGGAGGAAAAGGTAGCTAAAATCATCCTTTTCTATGGGTTTCAGAAGTTACATTAGGCAGTTTTTGGTCGCAATTTTGATGCTTTTCCGTCCTTCAAGGCCCTGCTGTTTGAGCGTGGCGGAGGCGCCGTTTCTGAGCTTGGAAATTAGGGAGTTTTTGGTCGCAATTTTGACGCTTTTCCGTCCTTCACTGCCATGGTGTTTTCCTATCCGGGAGCTGTCTTTTGAACAGAAGGAGCAGCAAGAGCAGGAGCAGCAGCAGCAGAAGGAAAAAGTAACTAAAAAATCATCCTTTTTCTATGGGTTTCAGAAGTTACATTAGGCAGTTTTTGGCCGCAATTTTGATGCTTTTCCGTCCTTTAGGGCCCTGCTGTTTGAGCGTGGCGGAGGCGCCGTTTCTGAGTTTGGAAATTCCCATCCGGGAGCTGTCTTTTGAACAGAAGGAGTACCAAGAGCAGGAGCAGCAGCAGCAGCAGGAGGAAAAAGTAGCTAAAAAATCATCCTTTTCTATGGGTTTCAGAAGTTACATGAGGGAGTTTTTGGTCACAATTTTGATGCTTTTCCGTCCTTCAGGGCCCTGCTGTTTGAGCGTGGCGGAGGCGCCGTTTCTGAGCTTGGAAAGCTAGAAGACGGCTACTTTTCTTGTCTTTTGAACAGAAGGAGTAGCAAGAGCAGGAGCAGCAGTAGCAGCAGGAGGAAAAAGTAGCTCAAATCATCCTTTTCTATCGCAATTTTGATGCGTTTCCGTCCTTCAGGGCCCTGCTGTTTGAGCGTGGCGGAGGCGCCGTTTCTGAGCTTGGAAATTAGGGAGTTTTTGGTCGCAATTTTGACGCTTTTCCGCCCTTCACTGCCATGGTGTTTTCCCATCCGGGAGCTGTCTTTTGAACAGAAGGAGCAGCAAGAGCAGGAGCAGCAGCAGCAGAAGGAAAAAGTAACTAAAAAATCATCCTTTTCTATGGGTTTCAGAAGTTACATTAGGCAGTTTTTGGTCGCAATTTTGATGCTTTTCCGTCCTTCAGGGCCCTGCTGTTTGAGCGTGGCGGAGGCGCCGTTTCTGAACTTGGAAATTCCCATCCGGGAGCTGTCTTTTGAACAGAAGGAGTACCAAGAGCAGGAGCAGCAGCAGCAGCAGGAAAAAGTAGCTAAAAAATCATCCCTTTCTATGGGTTTCAGAAGTTACATTAGGCAGTTTTCAGTCGCAATTTTGATGCTTTTCCGTCCTTCAGGGCCCTGCTGTTTGAGCGTGGCGGAGGCGCCGTTTCTGAGCTTGGAAAGCTAGAAGACGGCTACTTTTCTTATCTTTCGAACAGAAGTGGCAAGAGCAGGAGCAGCAGCAGGAGGAAAAAGTAGCTAAAATCATCCTTTTCTATCGCAATTTTGATGCTTTTCCGTCCTTCAGGGCCCTGCTGTTTGAGCGTGGCGGAGGCGCCGTTTCTGAGCTTGGAAATTAGGGAGTTTTTGGTCGCAATTTTGACGCTTTTCCGTCCTTCACTGCCATGGTGTTTTCCCATCCGGGAGCTGTCTTTTGAACAGAAGGAGCAGCAAGAGTAGGAGCAGCAGCAGCAGAAGGAAAAAGTAACTAAAAAATCATCCTTTTCTATGGGTT